TTAATTTTAATGTATATATATGTCAAAAAAAATTTCAAATTTTTATATAGCAACTAAATTAGATTAAATAGTAACTTAATGTGATTATTATATTTAAAATTACAAATCTACATTTTAAATATTTTAAATATATATATATATTTACTTTATACATTTTTTTGGTTACTATTCCACTAATCATAATCCAACTTCTAATTTTTAATTTTATAAAAATAGTTTGCATAAATTAGACATCTTAATTTCAATACTAACCTATCTAAAGAAAATATATATAATTATAACGGATTCATTAAAAAAAAAAAAAAAGGATAGTTAAGTGTGTGACGTGGCTCTCAGATATATTGCCACGTATAGTTCTAACCATCCGCCAATGTTTTGACTTTTGTACTTCAGTTCACGAGTCAATCCAGCCAAAAAAGCTATCGTCCAGACGGTACTAAACGCAAAAGACCGTGAGATTTCTTCAAGAACGCCACAACTGATTGGCTTGCTACGGAAGGTCCCACGTCTTCGCTACTAATCATTCGTCCGTCATTAAAATATCTGTGACTGACAGTGAGTTTAGAAAATCTTCCTCAATAAAGCATTTTATAAATTTAGGTCGCTTACTTTCTGGATTATTCATCATCGCTGTACCCCTTCCTCACTCTCTGGTAAGGTTTCGCGTTTCTTAATTCACTCTCAGCTCGAGTTGATTTATTCACTGCGGCTCTGTTACACTGATGCTTAGAATTCTAGGTCAATGTTTAAACTTCATCGCTGGTTAATCATGAATCGTGATCCTAATTTTAGAAAACTGAATCGTGATCTTGATATGATTTGCGTGCTAAATTGCAGCTCTGATCTAACAAATTTGCAGCTTCTGATGCTGTTTGATTTTGTCTAACATACGAATCGGGAGTTTTTTATTTGTTTTTCGAGTATGTTGATTGCCTAGAGTTGTTTTGAAATTGATGCGAAATTCTGAAATGTTGCTATTTATGTGGTTTACTCTAATTTTCACTGTCATTCTCTATAATTTGACCGACTTAGAAGTATTTTATTTGTAGATTAATCTACATTTTCGTTTATTTTTGCTTTGTGGGTGTGGGGAATCAGTGAAACCACTGTGATTTAGGCATGGCTGAGGCTGGACAGGTTGCTCCTAACGCTGAGTTGTTGGAATGGCCGAAGAAAGACAAGCGCCGATTCCTCCATGTGGTGTATCGCGTTGGTGATTTGGATCGCACAATCAAGTATGTCTTTGAGACGTTGATACTCATTGTTTTGTGCAAAATTGGTTTATGTTTAGTAGATGGTTGTATTTTTTACGCTTTGTGAGTTTGCCAGGTTCTACACCGAATGTTTTGGAATGAAGCTCTTGAGGAAGAGAGATATACCCGAGGAGAAATATTCAAATGCCTTTCTTGGTTATGGATCAGAAGAGTCCAACTTTGTGATTGAGTTAACTTATAGTATGTTGCTAACCTTTATCTTTGTCACCAAGATTTCTATCTTTTCGTTGTTGATACATTGAGCATGAGCTCTTATATTACTAAATTTCCAACTGTTCTGTTAACTTAAATATTATGAATTTATCATCTCTTTGCACATTGCAAAGCAGTCAATATAGATAGTTAATGACAACCATACAAGCATGTTTTCTTTTTAGTTTCCTTATATCTTGCACTGAAATCATCCCAGCCTTTTATCCCAGCCTTTTGATATTTTTTCTACTTCCCTGCTTTCAGTTTAATTTGCAGTCTGGAAACTAAAGTTTTAAATTAACAGATATTTCTCTCGGTGGTGAAAATGACTGTAGGCAGTTGCTGCTTTTCATATTAGAAAAGGATAATGTGTTGAGATCCTTTTAATGTTGTTAGGGAAGTAATCATTTTTTACTTAAATTATGGTGAATGTCTATCTGTCTAGGTGTGAGGTTTATTGGTGTCGATGAAGCTCGGGCAGGTTGTATTTTTTGATGATTAACTTTATTCCTGCCTCACAGATTACGGAGTAACTTCATATGATATTGGAACTGGTTTTGGGCATTTTGGTATTGCAACACAAGATGTGAGTAACTTTGTAATGATTTCGAGTGCATGATTCTGTACGAGTGCTGGAATCATTTGTTTATAATTGAACTTCTAGATCTACAAAATGGTTGAAGACATCCGTGCCAAGGGTGGCACTATCACTCGGGAGCCTGGTCCTGTCAAAGGTGGCAAAACAGTCATTGCCTTTGTGAAGGATCCTGATGGTTACACTTTTGAGCTCCTCCAAAGAGATCCAACTCCTGAGCCACTCTGTCAAATAATGCTTCGTGTCGGTGACTTAGATCGCTCTATCAAGTTCTATGAAAAGGTAATGTCACAAAGAAGTATCTTTTATTTGGATTTTGTCCATTTGATGCTATTCCATGTTTAAGGAAGTGGAATTTCTGTACGAGGAAATTTAAAAGTTTGTTTGGTGTTTCTCGTGCATGCTAAGAACTGAAAAGCATGCTGAGAATGTAAAATTGGTCATCAGAAAATCTTGAACTATAAGGTGTAAGAATATGGAAGGAACATCTTAACAGAACACAGGAAAAGGTGATTTCATGAATGAATAGATATGTTAACAGGCAAATCGGTAAACTTAAAAATGTTTGAGTTCATCTACTAAAAACAGAAATGTTGAAGTTCAGAATTTTAGTCCTGTTATGTCCTTAGAGTAGATCTCTAAGTAGAAGAAGTTGCACTTTTCTGCATTGTGCGTCTCGTGGATTGGATTAACGAATTGTGAGCCTCAGCATAATATGCATTGTGCCATGTGAATGTCTGATAGTTGAAGGAAAGGGATATTGTTAAGCAATGGTCATGATAGTACCAACTATTTGAAAAATAGGTTTTCATCCATTTGTATGGATATTTGTATTATTCATTTGGTGTTTTGTCACCTTTTCAGTGTGATTTGTTGATTTTATGAATTGTAACTGGTGTCTGGAATTTCAGTGGTTCAAACTCATGGTTTCTACCAAGCATATTATAGTTGTTTTGCACACTCTTTACTTTTAGTGCCCAGTGCAGATAAAGCAAAAAAGAATATTGCTAAATTGTTTGCTCATGCTGTATTTCTCTATATGCAGGCCTTGGGAATGAAGTTGCTGAGGAGAACTGATAGACCTGAACAAAAGGTGAAATATTTCTACATAATTCTAATTTTCTTTTAGTAAGAGGTGAACTAAATGGTTTTTGAGCTATGTGAAGCTCATAGAAGTATCTTAGTTTTGCTATATGTTTGTTACAGTACTCGGTTGCCATGGTGGGTTATGCTGATGAATACGAGACAACTGTTTTGGAGCTAACTTATAATTATGGTGTGACTGAATACACAAAAGGAAATGCTTATGCCCAGGTTGGTACAAAATTTTTTTCTCCCTTGTCCGTTCATCCTTGGGAACGCTTCTTTATGATTTTGTTTTTGCCAATTGTTTTATTATCTATATCCTAGGTTGCTATCAGCACTGATGATGTGTACAAAAGTGCTGAAGTCGTTAACCTTGTCAACCAAGAACTTGGGGGGAAGATAACTAGACAACCAGGTCCCATTCCAGGAATCAACACTAAAATTACTTCTTTCTTAGATCCGGATGGCTGGAAAACAGTAAGTACTCATCTACTCTAAATTTTCTTGGAAAAGTTTAGTTGCTCTTTCCGTGGGAATATGCCTCTCTTTCTCTTCCATTATCTGAAATAAGTTAGGATCTTCTTCATCGTAAAGCCTTGAAATTACATGTAGAGATAGCAAAAGTTAGCCCGATCTGATAAATAACTTGGTGAGCTCGAAACTATGACAGACTTGGCATGAATTTAGCAAATAAAAGCCAAAGCTAGACCTAAATAATCAAATTCCAAATGATTTACCACCTGGACTTATTTGAAATTTAATTTAACCCTAATAACTTAATTTGGTATTCTTGAATTCAAAAGTAAAATGAAAAATGTTCAAATATAGCTACTATAAGAACTTCCAAGTTAGAAAATTGGAATTCTCTGGTTATTGAATAAGACACGACTTAAGAAAAGCCAAAACGGATTTGAAACTTGAACAACATCATCTGAATGACTAAAAACATGAAACTAAGCGACTATAATCCAATTTGAACCAGCCGGATTGGCACTGGTGCATGGTGTGATGCTACAAATAGTTTTCGTAAACCAGACGATATTCATATTTGTCCAGAATTATTTAGTATTTTATTCTCATTTTCCCTGCTAAAACAGCGAGTTTTTTAAAATATCATTTGTTTAATCTTCTTTGTCGTTGTCACTTGTAGGTTCTGGTCGATAATGAAGACTTTTTGAAGGAACTGCAGAAGGAAGAGTAAGCGCGCATTGTCTGAATGAAGTGTCCTT